CCATGCCTGGTCGAAGATGGCCATTTTAAATCTAGCATTTATCATTCCCATGCAAGATAACGTAGTGTTAGGGAGCTTGAGGGATGGGATAAAATAAGATAATGTAGTGTTACGATACACACTTGTTTTCATATTTGGTATAGAATATAATGTCACATTTTAAAGCTTTATATACTATTTATCCTTCTGTCACTATCTTTTTTACTTAATATTGGTATTGAGATTTATTCATGATAGTTATCACATTTATTTTAAATATAATTTCATGACTCCCTCACCATTTATTAATTTATGTGCATTATACTATGTCTATATGTATATATGTACCTGTTTTTGTAGTAGCAGTAGCGGGATTGAACTACATACTTTGCCCTGAACTTCATCCCCAACACATTCCTCCATTTTTTAATTTTGAGACACGATCTTGCTGAGCACCCAGACTGGGCTAGAACTTTTGATCCTCCTGCCTCAGTCTTCCAGAGTGCTGGGATTATGGGTGTGTGCTACCAGTTCTGACTCTGTGTGTGTGTGTGTGTGTGTGTGTGTGTGTGTTACACATATTGACTCTGGTGTAAGGGTCCCACAAAGATGCATAGCCCGGAGCCTGATTTCCAGGACAGCGCTGTGGACAGGCAGGACTTGTAAGAGGCGGGGCCTGGAGGGAGGTGCTCAAGTCCTGGGCATCACCTTTGGGTGAGATGTAGTTATTCAGGGACCCCTGACATTTCCTTAATAGTGAATGTCACAGAAAGGTAGAGGCCGGCCCCTGCACCTGGCTTCTGTCTTGCCAGGCGTTCTCTTGGGCAGCAGCCGGCTCCCTCTTTTCCACCATGATGTGATCAGCAGGGAGGTCCTCACCGGTGGCTGAGAAGATAAGGCTGACCAGGCCTGGACTTCAGTCTCCCAGATGTGAGCCAAATACACCTTTGTTTGCAAAGCATGAGCTACAAGCACATTGTTACACAACACAAAATGGTCAGAGATATACATGTGTCTAAAACTGTGGTTTTTTTCTCTCGCTCTTGGGTTGAAATAAAATGATGATACAATGTAGCATTTTGGCACTATTAAGGGAAATTAGAGAAATGCTATTCCTTCAAAGCAGATAAAAACTATCTTCAATATTTTAGAAGTCTTATCCCATCTCCCTGACACATCCTTCTTTACCCACTGCTACCGGTGTTCTCTAGTGAGGCCTTGGATTATGGCTGGCTCTCTGGTGGCTTAGCTGATGCACTGCCTGGATTATGATTCAAGGAAAAAAAATTCTATTACGACAGAGGGTGAATCACGAAGTTGTGTGAATACACTGGAACTGAAGGTTGTGGTCATCATTTAAGGAGATCATATTTTAGTGTTAGGTTATTATTGATTTAAGTAAACCCATCTCTGAAATTTGCTAACTTACAAACAAAAGACTTTCTAGCCTTCTGTATTCTTCTAAGACAGTTATTAAGGTAGAAATACATAAACTACCTTTCCTCAGAAAACTGCCCTTAACTTAGAAATTTAATGTCAATGGACTACAGTCCCAGGATAGCACATCAACTTAGGAGTGTTGTGGATACATAGAAATTTCAGAACACCAAGGAATCTCAATTGCCTGAATAAAGAGAACACGTTTTCTTACCCACCCCCCACCCCAATATGGGGATTGAACCAGAGCCTTCCCACTGAGCTTCATTCCAAGCCCTTTTTATTTTGAAATAGGGTCTTGCCAAGCTGCCCAGGCTGGGGGCTTGAACTTGCAATCTCCCTGCCTGATCCTCCTAGAGTACTGGATCTACAGGTATGCACCACCATGCCCAGATAAAAATTTTTGTTTTGTTTTGGCACTGCGGATCAAACTCAGGACCTTGTGCTTGCAAGGCAGGCAGTAGAACCACTGAGCTAAATCCCCTGCCCTAAAAATTTTTTTATCAGTGCATGTATGCAGTGCATAATGAGAGATTTCTAAAGTTATAAGGACATTAGTCTCTTCTGTAGGATGGTAATATCCATGATGTGCAGCTTGAATGAAAATTAGGGCCTAACTCATTTGAGGAACTTGATCTTGAAAGAGGTGAACTATTATAAGGTCACATAAATCTTACCATACAGTATTATTAATTAAAGCTTTTATTTTCATCTCCCCATAAGATTTTGTCTTGACAATGTTTCGGTCTAATAGTAAACATTGACAACACCCAGGCAGTGTTTAATGCATTCAAAATATATGATCTCTGACACAAGAAGCTCACATTTTGAGGAAGACTTGCTTTATGTACTGCTTTTGTTCCCTTCATTGTGTCCTCTTTTTAAGTGCTGGCGATTGAACCTAGGGCCTTACACATGCTAAGCTCTTGCTCTCCTACCCAGCTACATTCCTAGCCCCTAGTGTGTCTTCTTTATCTTTTCAGATAATGGATAGATGCATCATTTAAAACGATCTTTGAGAAGATGATGTTGATTGGTGGGACTGACACAGAATCAGAGGAAGTAGGGGCTGTGGAGCAAAGGGCACAGTCCTCTGGGTGTGGCCCAGGGAACTGGTTTTTAATACCGAATGAATAGGCTCTTGCAAATGAACATTAAGTTGTGTTTAGTGTCCTCATCTCTTTGTAGAGAAGAAAACAGACTCCAACTCAGTTGGTGCCTAGACTTTAAGGACTTTCAAAGTTTATCAGATTTCCATAGTATTAAGAAAAATTACCAAAAATAAAAAAATAAAGTCACATCGACATCTCTGTATGTGAGTGCCTTCAAATCATCCGGGAAAGGAGGACATACAAATATTCAGCAATGCTTCTTTCTTAGGCACCTTGGAGATTGCCATGGAAATATAGAAGTATGAGACATTAAGACAATTTTCTAGTAAGAAAATAAGTATTTTCAATTAAGCTATATCTCATGATTTGAGTAGAGTACTGCAGTAAGTGAGAAACTACTTGCATTTCCAGCCATTGTAACATTCTCATTGGCAGTGAGTCTTTCAAGTGTGATTTGAGGAAGTTCTCTGAATGGGATTGTAGTAATGTTTTTGCTATCTGTGTCATTTAAGAGTGTGGCATCAAAAGCAGAATTCAGCTATGTTATTTTGTCTTTTCCAGAAAGGTTATGTGTTGTTTTTTTTTTTTTTTTGAGACAGGGTCTTGCTTTGTAGTTCAGGCTGGCCTTGAACTCATTTTGTAGCCCAGGCTGGCCATGAACTCGTGGCAATCCTGCCTCAGCCTCCCAAGTGCTGGGATTACAGGCATGTGTCACACCTGACCAGAAGTGCTTCAGATGGTCTATGGATGAAAAAGAAAGGAAGGAAGAGAGAGAGAGAAATCTCTCCTGTCATTTGTTAATTGGCATCAATTAAGAGATGAATTTTTTTTTTTTTGGTAGCAGGGATTGAACTCCCGACCTTGCGCTTGCAAGGCAGGTGGTGGCAGAGAGCTAAATCCCCAGCCTATGAATTCAATTCTTGTGATTAAGTACTTTGCCCTTTATGGTGACTAGATTAACCCTTTGCAAAAGGGACACAGACTTAGACCCACGAAGCATATTCTTACTCCTAGAAAAATACCCAAAAATGTCAATACCCCTTTAAGGTTAAAAGCTACCCCGCATCCAACATATGCAGGTAAAGATAGTGAGTTCCTATTTCCTACTTGTTTCCATCTGTCCTGCTCTTGAAGAAACCCATCTTTCTGTTCCACCACAAGCTTATTCTTTTAATTTTCCCTTAAAAATGTAAGTGTAAAATAGCACACCATTTGTACTAGTCAGCTTTCTAAGTGATTCTTCTACTTAAATTTGAGACCAAAGGGAGTAAGTATTAGAAGAGATAAATCATGTTTTTGAACTCAGAATTGTCTTGCATTTGTATGTATCCCGTATGTGGCTTTCAGTTAATTCCTCGGAAATCTGATCTTTGTACAATTAGGAGGCAAGTACCCTATTCTATGAACATAGGTGGCAAGTATAAATATAAGTGTTTTGGAACTGAGATGTAAACTCAGTCTCTAGTAAAAGATTTTTTTAATTTTTTTTTAGTTAGTACACACAAATCTAGTTCAAGTGCTTGGACTTCACAACCTCATTCTCCCAGCACAACCTCATTTATTACACAAAAGAATCATCACAATAATTGGACACTGACTTTTGAGGACAGTTTCCATTTCTTGAATTTAACCTCTTCGTGGTAATCACACCTAGAGATGTCTGGCAGAGCACACATATAAAACTTGAGCATTTCCCCCCAGGATGACAAGTTATCAAGGAACCCAAGGAGGAAAGGCCAGTTAACCTAATCCAATTAAGTAAATCAAGATTTAAAATTAGAGCGTCTATAAATGGTCGGAGAGTGGAGAGAACTTCAGTGAGATTCATTGTTTTAAAATGTTGGCAATTGTTAATAACATTTTTTTAGGAGGTAACACCTGCCTTGGTACCAAGATGATGAAGCAAGAAACAATGTTGTGTGCAACAAACTGGCTTTTTGAAATGAAGGAACTATGTGTCTTTAAACATATACCTACTCCATATAAAATAAAATATACTTTTAAGTCTCTGTCTTGGTGCCACTGGCCAGAACTAAAGGTCTCTTCCCACATGTAAGGTGACCAGATTTCTTTTATGGCTTTAAATCGTTTGCCTCCTGGGTATGTGGAAGTGGGAGACTATGGAAACCTGGGGCCTAGGGGGATGGGAACGAGATGGCTCCATTGAGAATCCAAGAGCTGAAAGTGTGAGGGAGAAAATCCTCCTCCAGCCTCGGAGGGGGTGTCTCCCCCAATACCAGCGCCCTCCCCCCGGGCCCGTGGGGCGGATCTGCTTTGCTCAGTAGCAGCAGCGGCCGCGACAGAACCCCGGGGCT